ATTTATGGATAGACGTCTTGCTTAACAATGAATTTTTCCATAAAAATTAATACTGTAAGATTATGAGATTATTTTTTCTTAATCAACGCAACTTTAAAATTCAGTACACACCTGAGCCCACCAGTGGCCAAGCAGTCTTCGTACNATTTATAAATTATTTTTTTCATACATAAATAACGTCAGCCTTTTCGCCTGATCCCAAGAGTAAAATAGCACGTTTATCATTTGTTAATCGCACTGTCAACGTTGGTTGAACTCGTTATACGTTAATTAAAATGGAATGTAGTGAGGGTGATTTAGAATATAGTCGTAGACAAAGTTTAAACAGTACGATTTGTGATATACCGGTACAATACTTGTGTTTTCTGTTCATAATTATAAATTGTAAATGCTTTGTTCGAAATGATTATTTAAAAGTGAAAATAAATTAATTTTATGAATAGACACCTTGCTTAAAAATGAATTTTTCTATAAAAAAAAAATTAACACTCTAAGGTTAAGATGGAATTATGAATAAAATAAAACATAGGGAGACTTAAAATTTGATATTCTCCTATCGATAGAAATGCTATTATTATTAGTTATTGAACGTTCTGTAATATGCATAAGTATATAGCCTAAAAAAACATTATTGTTTGCATTGTCATGTGAATAATAAATTTATTATTCACATGACATACGCAACCTTAATATTGTCCGGATAGCATTATCTCGTATTTTGGAAAGGAGACTTAGGATAGTTATAGAGAAAAGACAGAGTTCAAGAGTAAACACCTCCTCTCACTTACAGCCAATTATATCAATAGGTGGAGGGGGCGCAATGTTTGCTAGAGAGAACTACTCGGAAATTTTTTTTTCTTATTCAGCGCAACTTTAAAATTCAGTACATATTTGAAATCAGAACACAATCTCTAAAATCAGTCTGTCTGGTCACTAGCTATTTTAGAACTACTTTAAGCATCGAGGAAAGCCTAACATAAAGATAAAACTTACATGCACATAAATTTGGTCGTTTTATAAAGTATATGAAATTTATGGACGTTTATTATTTTCTAAACAATTTACAACATACTGTACTACATAATTGCAGTATAATTCCTTATATGCGGTATTTTTCAACATTAAATAGTAACATATTTAACACTCTTCCATCTCATTAGAACACAAGGGCAGATAGGACCAAACCTCAAAATGTAATTTTTATAATAAATAAAATGTCAAGTGGCATGGACATTATTTCCAGTGGCGTAGCTAGGGGGCGGGGGCGGCCCGCACCGGGTGTCACCCGACCGTGAAAAAAATAAAAACTTAAACACTTAAACCATCACAATGTTTTTCAACGATAAATCACTTAGGCTTGATGCCATTTTAATCAAGTTATCTATATTAAATAACACAGGTCTGCAAGTAAAAAACTGCATAGGATTTTTATACATTTTCTTATAGATTTCAACTTGGTAAAAACGAAAAAAATACCAAAAAAATTCCATCTCATCAATTTTTTTTGTTACACTCAAGTTATTGTTTGTATTTAGCGTAAAATTCCTAGTTAACTTAAAATTTAGTATTCTTTTTTTATATTTAAAAAATGGCATTAAAACGAAGACTTCTCACATTAATTCTATCAATTATAGCTGGACTTGGCAATAAATAAATAAAAAATGTTAATAGTTGAAGAGAGTAGTGGTAGGGGGAGGTGAGTTAAGTAGTTTTAGCGTTAGGAGGAAGGTCGCATGATTGTGTAGAAACAGGTTAAATAAAAGTTGATAGTGAGTAATATTACTTATGAGGTTGAGCATGTTTCGACATATTATCTGGGATACTAGGAATAAATATAAACAACCTGCTGTTGGATTAGATCATGTTTCAACAAGCTAAATAAGTTCAGTATCTCGCTGGCTATCTAATGCCACACTTAGTTTAATATCCAACATTCGAAAGCTACAGTGCTTGTATTTTTATTAGTGATATAACGAATATTCGGTTACTATTCGGTATTCGGCCTATTCGGCCTATTTTTCGCTATTCGGCCGAATACCGAATACCTAAAAACAGGAGTAAGAAATAACAAAAACACAGTAAATTAATTATTTTGGTTTTTAGATTTAATGTTATCGGGTTAGTGTTGTTTGTTTATATTTATTTATAACTTATAACATGCACAAAATAAAAAAGAAAATAATATTAGTCACATGTATTCGCAATTTATAATTACAAAGATCAGCAGACGTACACATTTATTCCGTTCGAGAATCGTCGCACATCTGAAGTGAGGGTCTGACCCTGCCTATCCTTTCTAAGCGCTCGTCTTTGCTCTTCCCTTTCTCTTTCCTCTATCGCTCTAGTCCACGTATGCCTATGCATACATCATAATACGCGCTCACGATACTTTCGATTCGTCACTTTTCCGTCGTAGATTTCCAATTTTACAATTACGTGACATAGCCTGGTGATAACGGAGAAAAGAGACAGATAGGACGTCGGTATAAGTCACAGTTATGATTTCACATATTCGAGACAGCTTGGTAGCTCGAACGGCCCCAGGCTTTCGTCCGTGCACGCTAAGTGAGTTTCATTACAAGCATTTAGCTTTCCGAAGTCTATAACAATTGTTTGACATTGACGGCCGCGAATTTCGCGCCAATAAGCTGCCTCGACTTGTTCGATTATGTTACCAACTCAATTTCATATTTATTTTCACATTTTCACTTCGCGGTCTTTCTCTGTTCTTTTTCCGTTATTTACACGTGTAGGTCATTTCATTGTTATCCACATTTGATATCACCATTTATCACATGCTGCCATGACGCTCGTGTCTGTCCGCTTCAACTGTCAAGAATTAACGCGATTGGCGAAGCGTAGTGACAGCGGGCCAATAGAGAGCAGGGTCCTTGCCGTAATGCGGTTTGCGCGCCAATTTTCGTACGTGCATTAATCAGGACGAATAGTATGTCCGAATATTCGGCTATTTGGCCACGCTCCTGGCCGAATATTCGGTATTCGGCCTGAGACCGAATATACTGTTCGTTGCAACACTAATTTTTATTTCTGGAATAAGGCTCGCAGAGGTTGTGTAATTTCTCCCAACAGCTTCTGTTATGTTTGTGGTGAATACACAGTAAAAAGTCAATATCCCTTTATCTGATCCCCTGTTTTTGGAACAATGGGAGAAAAGGAAAAAGAAGCATGGGCTCTTTCAAGAATGTAGTGCATAAGTTTTTGGGAAATACTAAGGACCCTGACTACAAAACCATTGTTTAATGCATGCTGGCAGCGTATGAAACTTAAAGATGCAATATGAGCTTAAAAGTTCATTTCTTACACTCCCACATTGACTATTTTCCCGAAAACTTGGGAGCCTACAGTCTTCACTGTAGTCTTCCAAGGGTGAAAGATTTCACCAGGATGTTCGTGATATCGAGAGACGTTATCAAGGAAAATGGGATGTCAATATGTTAGCTGACTACTGTTGGATGCTCAATTGAGAAACCAGAGAAGGAAATCGGAAACAAGTTCGAAGAAGCATCAAAGAGAAGAAGAAAAGACGTCATAAGAAAAAAGAGTAGACCTAAAATTGTGTATAAATATCAGAAATAATTTTTTTGATTAGTGATAAGAGAATATAATACAGTATATTTAGTTCATTGTAATAAATAAGAGTTTTTATCAAATATTTGTTTTTATTTTGCAAAAAACCTATACGTGATGGGATGTTATGGAAGTCATTTTTAGAATCTCCGATCTTTAAAACATATAATTCAGCAAAAATATCCCATGCAGCTGGAAAAAAAAATTGTTTTTGCAGACCTGTGTAATTTAATTTTACAGATTCTCTTCCGAATCTTATGGTCACACTAAAGTTATTTCTGACAATTTGCGTATCAGTTGCTTCGTGTGAGAGGAGTTTCAGCAAACTAAAATTATTTGTTCTGTAAGCACAATGTAATAACGATCACTTGGCACTATTCACTTCTTTATTTCACTTTTCGTTGATCGTTATTACGCTACATTGCGCTTACAGAAAACATAAAAAATACGACACGGTTTCAAAACATGGTAGAAACTAAAATTAATAAAAAATTACTTGCGGGCAGCAATGACCCAAATGAGACTTAACAATCTTGGCATATTAACAATAGAACACGAGTCAACACAAAATATAAATTTTGAAGATGTTATTTCCGAGTTTGCAGCTGTTAAAGCTAGAAAGAAGAGCTTTGAAGTGTTTGTACATAATATATACAGTTTATGAGAGTATATTAATTCTACTCTCATTCTTCTTTTGTCATACCCAACTTTCATTTTCATACATCAATGTGAAAGAATGTTTAATAAAACTGTACTATTATTATCATAATATTGTAACTTGATAATTAATGACTCTTATTTGTATTAATTAAATAAAATCTTACCTTACGTTTATCGAATTTTTATTAATTTTAACAGTTTTCATTCTTGGTGTGACACCACGATATCCACACCGGGTACCACCCATGCTAGCTACGACACTGATTATCCCTACTGTTCCTATCCAGATCTATCTCCGATAGAACAATACACTAATATTAGGAACGTCAATATTGAAAAACTGGTTCAATACTATACTACAATGCTATAGGTGTTCGACGTCATTTAGCTTCTATACTCACGATTTCATTTGCATTAATTTCCATTGAATTAATATTTGAGATGGAAAATAAAATAACGTTAGCAGAAAACAAATTACTACAAAAAATCTAGTTAATATACAAGAAAATACCAAATCCAATAATAAGTACAAATAATTAAATTTTAATACCATAAAATTCCAAGTATATAAATTACAGAAGTTAACAATTCAAATATAACATTTATCATTATTCATTAGCTTCCCAGGAAAAATTTTTATATATGTAACATCATGTATCCCTCCGAAGTGTGACATTATTTCTTCTTTCGTATATTTATCCCAACACAAACTACATTTAAATAATTTTTTATCTTTATCATTCCTGTTATAGTCCTTTATATGTCTTTGCTTATGATTATATTTCAAATTATAATCACCGCACTCCATTGTACATGACGAACAATCCACCGTATATTAGCAAAGTACTTCGTCGCCACAAATCCAGTTCGCCAATGGCGGGAACTGGATTTGGCAACGACTGTAACGGCATGATTTAGAACTAATGCTGTCTCACAAGTCAGATGCTTAATTCCACACTATTATGCGAATTTATATTTTTGGACGCTTTCGATATCTTTATAAATGAAGCAACACATCGCTTCTATCCATTCCAACTTTTGAATTTATATTACAAATTTGTATCCATTAATCGAACTGTGGAGATTTCTTGGAAGAAAAGATCCGATTACATATTTATATCTTTATGCATCCATTAATTATTTCAATAATCTTTATATTAAATGTGCATAAACCGGATAATGATCAATTTATTTCTTACGATTAAAAATAATTTCAATTTCAATTGCACTTACATTAGACGCTACGGAACCTTCCGGATCAAATTTGAAAATTGATACATTAAATACATTAAATCTCATATAAATCTCGTTTGAAAATATATCTGCAAAAATTAATGAATTACATACCATTATATATATATATATATATTAATTCTACATTTGTAAAATGAAAATATTTAATTAATTTATACGGGTGTGATTTTTGTATGTTAAAAAATTTGTAGAAAACATTTATAACTTTAAATTTACTCACTAGAAGTAACTCTTACACAACGTCCTCTATACTTCAAAATGCTGTACATATTTTATTAATGAAATCGATGAATTAAGAAGAGTTATATTAACTTTTTTATCTTCTGCTAACAATTATACTCGTATTAATTCTGCAAAAGATTAATTTAAAAATAACAGAAAATTTAAATTTACCATATGCAACAAATTATTTTCTCGTCATTATATAGGATTCGAGTTCGAATCCTATATAATGACGATCCTAAATAATTCGTGTTATAATTAGCGTTTCCACCAGGCCGGTTTTCACCTGGACAAACCGGTTTTTAAGTTTATGGTCCGGATTAATTATTAAAATTAATTTGTCCGGTTTTCGGATGTTTTTAATGAACTTTGAACAATACAGGAAAGAGTAGAAAATTTGGAAGAAAAGTTAAAAGCAGAAAAAAATAATTCACAGCTATGGGTAATTATATTAAAAAAAAATTTTTCCAAACGTTCAGAGGATGATTGAATTTATGTTTAGCATTCCAACTTCTAATGCATACATTGAAAGATGTTTCTCTTCAATGAATAACTTATGGTGAGATAAAAGAAACAGATTAACACCGGAAAATGTTAAAGCTGAACTACTAATTTGCAGTAACAAAAATTAAATGTAAAAATTTTTACGAAGAAATAATAAATAATAAAAAAATCTTTTAGAATCGACTAAGAGCAACCAAAAATACACTTTTAAGGCAAAGAATAATGTAATATTTATTTTTATGTAATTTTTCTCAATTATTTTCATATATTATTATATGTGACCATTGTTAGTTTTCAAATTTCTATATTTACATTATATATTGTATCAGGCACAATGTATATTATTATTAATGCTGGTATGTGTTACTATTTATTATTTTTTTCTTTTATGTATTTGCAATTAATATCGACATCGGACTAATTATTTTTGGATATGCCACCTGTGATTATTGTATTACTTTAATAATATATCATGTACATGTTTACCTTCTAATAAAAAATGTATATACTGTATATTTATTTCCTACTCACAATAAAAAAATCATTTTTTTTTTATTTCTAACATGTAAGTATAACATCCTAACTTTAAAATGTCCGAGTCAGCAATTTTGAAAAGGTGGCAATACTAGTTATATTGTAGCCATCCCCGTGTTTCTTTATGCAGCGAGAGTGTAGCGAAATGACGTCACGAGCAGTATTGGCCAATTAGAAATCAGTTTCAGTGTGTTCGCTGTAAAGCGTTTCTCGAGCTCTGCATAAAGAAACGCGAGGCATCCAAGGTTCTAGATTATAAGGTTTTCTTTTTTTTAAACTCTTTTCGCCCTGTGGGCATTAAGAGGGTCTATTTTTGCAAGCACATTATGGGTTCGGCCAGGCCCACAATGTAACAGCCTGGTGGTGAGGGACGGGGCCCGACATATCCGAAAAGACCACCCCCAAAAAATTCCTGGGGATTATTTGACCCGTCAGGATTCTACCCCGTGTCCCCCAGAGCGGTAGGCTGCAACCTTGACCGCTCGGCCATCCGGCCGCTAGATTATAAGGTTACCTCATATCACCTGCGAAAGGTCGAAGGTTATGGACACCTCAACAGTTTTAATTAATTTCATTTTTTACTATAAATGGCAATTCATTAAAATGCCAATGCATTTTATTCTAATTTACTAGTATTGTAACTATTTTTTATATTAACATTTTCATTAGTGTTGCAACGAATAGTATATTCGGCCTCAGGCTGAATAGCCGAATATTCGGACATACTATTCGGCTTGATTAACGCACGTACGAATTACGGCGCGCAAACGCATTATGGCAAGGACCCTGCTCATGGGCGTAGCCAGAGTTTTGTTATGGGGGGCCTAGTGGAGGCCAACCTGACACAAAATTGAATTATTTCAAATTATTGTTCATTATTGGGCACCGAGCAAGCCGTTCACCTTTTTTTTAGTATTCAAAACTTTTATTTTAGCTTTAGGTGTTTACAAATCGACTCAACACTTTTTCGGCTGTGATTTCCTGGGGGGGCACCAGGTTCCCTGGGAGGGGCCGTGCCCACCCAGGCTCCCCCCTCGCTACGCCCATGACCCTGCTCTCTATTGGCCCGCTGTCACTACGCTTCGCCAATCGCGTTAATTCTTGACAGTTGAAGCGGACAGACACGAGCGTCATGGCAGCATGTGATAAATGGTGATATCAAATGTGGATAACAATGAAATGACCTACACGTGTAAATAACGGAAAAAGAACAGAGAAAGACCGCGAAGTGAAAATGTGAAAATAAATATGAAATTGAGTTGATAACATAATCGAACAAGTCGAGGCAGCTTATTGGCGCGAAATTCGCGGCCGTCAATGCCAAACAATTGTTGTCATAGACTTCGGAAAGCTAAATGCTTGTAATGAAAGTCACTTAGCGTGCACGGACGAAAGCCTGGGGCCGTTCGGGCTACCAAGCTGTCTCGAATCTGTGAAATCATAACTGTGACTTATATCGACGTCCTATCTGTCTCTTTTCTCCGTTATCACCAGGCTGAGTCACGTAATTGTAAAATGGGAACTCTACGACGGAAAAGTGACGAATCGAAAGTATCGTGAGCGCGTATTATGATGTATGCATAGGCATACGTGGACTAGAGCGATAGAGGAAAGAGAAAGGGAAGAGCAAAGACGAGCGCTTAGAAAGAAGGATAGGCAGGGCCAGACCCTCACTTCAGATGTGCGACGATTCTCGAACGGAATAAATGTGTACGTCTGCTGATCTTTGTAATTATAAATTGCGAATACATGTGACTAATATTATTTTCTTTTTTATTTTGTGCATGTTATAAGTTATAAATAAATATAAACAAACAACACTAACCCGATAACATTAAATCTAAAAACCAAAATAATTAATTTACTGTGTTTTTGTTATTTCTTACTCCTGTTTTTAGGTATTCGATATTCGGCCGAATAGTGATTAAATATTCGGTATTTGGCCGAATAGCTAAAAATAGGCCGAATAGGCCGAATACCGAATAATAACCGAATATTCGTTACATCACTAATTTTCATATTAAATATAAAAAGAAAAAAAATGTTAGGTGGCGCTGTCGTTTTCCGGATGTGACTGATGCAATGCTGCACATTGAGATACAATATCCTTGCAGCGTGGTTGGAAGTTTGAGAAACATTTAAATGTTTCGATAATGTTTTTATGTCGTAAATAATATCACACTATAATATTTCTTACTTTGAGAATCGGAAACGTCGGAGTGAAAATGAGTATAATACTTGATGGGTTAGAAAATATGGTTTTAGAAGAGAATATAGACAATGAAAAATCAAAACAGGAGGATGATTTCGTCGATCCTTGGAATGTAGTAAGCAAATCTGCAGCTGGAGTCGATTATGATAAACTTACCCGTAAGACTAATCAAATTATTCACCTTATTTGTGATTTTAGTGGTGACGTATTCAATCATCAATTAATTTGCCAATATTTCCTGTAGCCTACAGTGGGAATAAATCAATGAATTAAATTTTAATGGATCGATCATTCGCTTCTTACAAAAAAATGAGACGTTAGCTTGCAGTTAAGCAATATAAATCGTAAACAATTTACTAAATTTGAATCGATAAATGAAGCTTACTTTTTTTCAAATTTTTATAGCTTATGATTGTGGAATTTCTTGGAAATATGTAACAATTTCTTTCTCTTTCTCTCTTTTTTTTTTTTTTAATGAATATTTTACACACACCAGGAATATAACACTGAGTTTTTATGTTCAAACATGGTTACTTTTTGACGTAATTACCATGAAGATTGAGGCATTTGTCTATCTGTGGACGAGCTTTGAAATACCGTCTTCATAGAATGTTGCCGCCAATGACTTGAGATGGGCCTTAATGTTTTGAAAATCGTTGTTAGTCTCAAACCTCTGCCCTCCTAACCACGCTTTTAGTTCAGAAAAGAGGTGGAAGTCTTCACACATTAAAGATGTGAAGACTGTCACCTTTCAGACTTCCACTTAGCTTCAAACTTCTTAAACACCCAGTGTACAGCCCTGATTTAGCACTGAGTGATTTCCACTCTTTCCTGGACTAAAAGTGTGGCTAGGAAGGCAGCGGTTTGAGACTAATGATGATTCAAAACATTAAGGCCCATCTCAAGTCACTGGCAGCAACATTCTACAAAGAGATGATTTCAAAGCTTATCCATAAATAGACAAATGCCTCAATCTTCATGGTGATTACGTTGAAAAGTAACCATGTTTGTACCTAACTTTTGGTAATAAATTCATTTCATTATTTACACTTGTCTTTGCTTTATGAACCATTGGAGGTTGAAAAAAAACATCCTGTGTATATGTTATGGACAAAGTGATTAATCGGGCATTATGAATAATGACCAAATAGGGAGGGCAGTGTGATAAATATTGATTCATCTATCAAATTGA